TTTTATTGATCGTTTCAAATAACCAGCTTTTGGTTTTGTTGATTTTCTCTATTTATTTCCTGTTTTCAATTTCATTGATTTCTGTACTAATTTTTATTAGAGCAGATCTTACTCTCTTCTTCTGCTTACTTTGGAGTTAATTTGCTCTTCTTTTTTCAAGTTGCCTAAGGTAGAAGCTTAGATGATTGATTTTAGATTTCTTCTTTTCTATTATATGCATTCAATGCTATAAATTTCACTCTAAGTACTGCTTTTGCTGTATCCTTAAAATTTTGATAAACTGTATTTTCATTTTAATCCAGTTCAAAATATTTTTTGAGATTTTTAAATTGTGGTAAAAGACACATAAAATTTACCAGCTTAACCATTACTAAGTATACAGATCAGTGGTATTAAATATATCCATAATGTCATAATGGTATTAAATATATCCATAATGTCATGGAACCATCACCACCATCCATCCCCATAACTTTTTTCATCTTATAAAACTGAAACTCCATACCCATTAAACAATAACTCCCCTATGATTTTGTTGACTCTAGGTACCTCATATAAGTTGATTCATACAGTGATTGTCTTTTTGTGACTGGCTTATTTTACTTAGGATAATGTCCTCAAGATTCATCCATATTGTAGCATATTGCAGAATTTCCTTCTTTTTTAAGGCTGAATAATATTCCAATGTATGTATAGACCACATTTTACTTATCCACTCATCTGTTGATGGACACTTTGGTTGCTTCCACATTTTAGCTATTGTGGATAGTGCTGCAGTGAACATGGGTGTACAAATCTCTCTTGGAGACCCTGCTTTGAATTCTTTAGGGTTTATACCCAGAAATGGAATTGGTAGATCATATGGTAGTTCTATTTTCATATTTTTGAGGAACAACCATATTGTTTTCCACAGCAGCTGTACCATTTTACCTTCCCACCAATAGTGCACAAGGGCTGCAATTTCTCCACATCCTTGCCAGCACTTGTGTTTATTTTTATAGTAGCCATCCTAATGGTTGTGAGGTGGTACCTCACTGTAGTTTTGATTTGCATTTCCCTAATTATTAGTGACATTGAGCCTCTTTTCATGTGCTTATTGCCATTTTTTTCTTTTAGCACTTTGAATGTATCAGCCTACTGCCTTCTGGTCTCCAAAGTCTCTGATAAGAAATCTGCTGATAATCTTACTGAAGATCCCTTGTATGTGATATCATCACAGACCCCTCATATTTGGAGGACAGGGTCCTCTTTGCCCATCCTGGGTTCCACGAGCTGTGTGCAAGCTGTTTCAGGAACACATGCACAGCTGCCTGCTGTGTGGCTGGGTAGCTCCTACTGAACTAGGAGCTGAAATTGACCAAAATTAACCACTTTTACTGTCCAAGACTTTCCTTGGAAGTTGCAAGCCTTCAACAGACTCCAGAGTCCAAAAAGGTTACATCAGACAGATTCTAACAGTGTGACCGCTGTCTCGATGGAAAGACACATTCCTGGCGCTTTCTACTCCACCATCTTCCCAGAATCCTCTCCTAGGTCAAAATATGTTTAAATTTCTCTTATGATTTTTCCCTTGACCCATGTATTATTTACAAGTGTGCTGTTTAATCTCTAAATATTTTGGGATTTTCCAGCTATCTTTCTATTATTGATTTCTACTTTAATTCCATTGTGTTCCGCAAGCATACATCGTGGTTTCTATATTTTAAACTTGCTAAGGTGTGCTTTACGGCCCAGAACATAGTCTATCTTGGTGAATGATCCATGTGAGCTTGAGAAGAATGTGTATTCTGCTATTGTTGGATGCAGTCTATAGGTGTTAATTATATCCAGTTGGTTGATGGTGCTATTGAGTTCAACTGTGTCTGTACTGATCTGCTACTGGATCAGTCCACTTCTGATAGAGAGGTGTCAAAGTCTCCAACTACAATAATGAGTTCTTCTATTTCTCCTTGTAGTTCTATCAGTTTTTGCTTCACATATTTTGACACTCTGTTGTTAGGTGCATATACATTAAGGATTGTTTTGTCTTCTTGGAGAACTGACCTCTTTATCATTTTGTAATGCTCCGTTATGTTGTTATCCGGTAATCTTCCTTGCTCTGAAGTCTACTCTGTCTGAAGTTAATACAGCTACTCCGGCTTTCTGTTGATTAAGGTTCGCTTAAAGCTAGCCTATACGTCTTTCTCCATCCTTTAACTTTCCGTCTAGTGTATCTTTATATTTAAAATGCATTTCTTGTAGACAATATATAGTTGTGTCTTGTTTTTTGATCCATCCTCACAATTTCTGTGTTTTAATTGGTGCATTTAGACCACTGACATTCAAAATGATCATTGATATAGTTGGATTAATATCCACCATATTTGTTAGTTTTCTATTCATTGCCCTTGTTCTTTGTTCTGTCTTCCTCTCTTTTTCTATCTTTTGTGTTTTAATTGATTATTTTACATGATTCCATTTTATCTCCTTTCTTAGCATACCAATTATACTTCTTGTTTTTCACCTTTTTTTAGTGGTTGCCCTAGAGTTTGCAATATACATTTGCAACTAGTCCAAGTCCACCTTCAAATAACACCATTCCACTTCACGGGGAGTGCAAGTGCCTTATAATAACAAAGTATTCCTAATTCTTCCCTCCCACCCCTGCACCATTGCTGTCATTCATTTCACTTATACATAAACTACAATCATCAATTACATTGTTGCTATTACTTTGAGCAGACTGTTATCTATTAGATCAGTTAAGAAAAATAGAAGTTTTAATTTTACCTTCTCTTATTCCTTCTCAGATGCCCTTCCATTCTTTATGCAGATCCGAGTTTCTGATCTGTATCATTGTCCTTCACTCTGAAGAACTACTTTTACCATCTCTTGAAGGCAGGTCAGTCACTGAGGAACTCCCTCAACCTTTGTTTGTCTGAGAAAGTCTTTATTGCTCCTCCGCTTCTGGAGACTTTCACAGGGCGCAGAATTCCAGGTCGGTGGGTTTTTCTCCCAACACTCGACACATTTCGCTGCCCTCTCTTCTCGCCTGCATGGTTTCTGAGGAGAAGTCGGCTGTAATTCTGATCTTCGCTCCTCTGGGGCAGGTGTTGTTTCCTCTGGCTTCTTTCAGGGTTTTTCTTTATCTTTGATATCTGAAGTTTTAATATGACATACCCAAGTGTAGTGTTTTGCGTATTTATCCTGCTTGGTCCTCTCTGTGCTCCCCGGGTCTGTGGTTTGGTGTCTGACATTAATTTGGGGAAATTCTCAGTCATTATTGCTTTAATTATTTCTTCTGTTCCTTTCACTTTTTCTTCTCCTCTGGTACCTCCATTATGTGTGTATCACACGTTTAGTAGTTGTCCACAGTCCTTGGATACCCTATTCCTATTTTTTTTCCAGTCTGTTCTCTTTGCTTTCCAGTTTTAGAGGTTTCTGTTGATATATTCTCAAGCTTAAAGATTCTTTCCTCAGCCCTGTCCGTTCTCTGAATGAGCTCATCAAAGGCATTCATTTCTGCTACAGTGTTTTTGATTTCTAGCATCTCTCTGATTCTTTCTTAGAGTTTCCATCTCTCTGCTCACATTACCCATTTGTTCTCACACGTTGTCTACTTTTTCTATAGAGTCCTTAGCATATTAATCATAGTTTTTCTCAATTCCTGATGTGATAATTCCAATATTCCTGCCATATCTGCACCTGGTTCTGATGCTTGCTCTGTCTCTTCAAACTGTGTTTTTTGCCTGTTAGTATGCCATATAACTTTTGTGTTGTTGAAATCTGTCGACGTACTGGGTAAAAGGAACTCAGTGCTGGTTCCCACAGAGCTTGCTGCTCTGGTAAGTTGTGATTCTTTGTATTTGCTTGTTTGTCTCTCCAATTTGGCACAGTGGTTTGCCCTGTGACCTCAATTCTCTGACAGATCTAAGAATAATTGATTTTCTTTTTGCTCAGCTTTTTACTTGTTGTTAGGGCAGAGTGACAAATTCCCAAGCTCCTTGTATTCCAGGCTGGAAGTCCTATACCTGTTTTTAAAATGCCAAACAATATAGAAATTAACTAAACAGAAAATCAAAGTTCCCCAACAAATATAACCGCCTAACGGCTTGGTGTGCATTCTTTAGAATCTAAGCACAAAGAAACACACATATGCGTATTTTTTTTTTTTTTTACAATTTTTACAAATGATACTTTTTACAAAAACAAGATCCTATACAGACTGCTCTACCACAGGATATTATGGACACTTTTAGTACAGATATGGGTATAATATTCTGTTTATTGCCACGTAACATTCCTTTATTTGCCTTTGCCTAAATTTAATCAATTCCCTACTGAAAGGTATGTTACTTCAAAAATGAAATTTTGGGGGCCAGCCCAGTGGCATAGTGGTTAAGTTTGCGTGCTCTGCTTCAGCAGCCTGGGGTTCGCAGGCTCAGATCCTGGGCACAGACCTACACACCGCTCATCAACCCATGCTGTGGTGGCATCCCACATATAAAATAGAGGAAGACTGGCACAGTTAGCTCAAGGACAATCTTCCTAAGCAAAAAAAAAAAGGGGGCAATTTTGCTGTTACAAATAACATCACACTAAATGTCTTTTTACATATAACTCTGCCTACTTGTGCATTTCCATAGGATAAATTTCTATAGATAGAACTGCTGGGTCAATGGTTATATACATTTTAATTTTTAATATGTATTGCCAAACTGCTGTCCAAAATGTTCAATTTACATCCCCAAAACAGTGTTTAGAGATAGTATTTCTCAGTACTATCTCTGGGTACTTTTAAATCTTTGCCAATCTGATAACAAACAAGGGATATCTTACTGTGGTTTGTATTTTTTTTTTTTTTTATTTCTAGCAAGGCTGAATATTTTTCATGTTTATTGGCCATTTTATTTCTTCTTCAGGAATTGCACAATTTTCATTAGATTATATAGAACAGATTTATTTTTAAGAATGGAAAATAGAGAATAAAAAACTTAAACTATGGAAATCCTCCACCCTAGGTATTATTGTCGAAGTTATATGGCCTACAAGGAACGTTCTATTTTACTTCACATTCACCGGGTGAACACATCATTTGCTTAGAATCTAATTCTACGAGGCTTGTGTCCTTTGGAGGGAGTAAGCTGGTGAGTATACGCCTCCATGTCCTTGTTGACGAACACAGCGTCAGCACTACTCAGGCATGACATTGGTATGCAGAACCATTACACCCAGACTGGCTAGAAACTTATTGAAGGTCTGCGTCTAGATCTCAGCGCAGCAACCAAACAGGGAGCTGGAGAGCTTGGAAGGGGTTCAAAGGAGAGCCATGAAGTTGATTACAGGGCTTGAAAAATAAGAACCGTGAGGGGAGGTTAAAAGAACTGTGATTATTCAGGCTTGAAAACAAGTGAAGGCTGAAGGGTGAATTAATAATGGAATTCCAATAAATAAAACTCTTACATGGTAGATGGTGATTGGCAATTTTCTAAATGTGCTGAGAACAGACGAAAAGAATTTGTACTTTAGCATCAGAAATTTAGTTATATGTAAAGAAAATTTTCCTGCAAGTAGTCAACTTCTCTCAGCATCAAGGGCATTTGCCTAATAGTAAATTTGATGTTCAGGAAGGTGTAAGTACTCCTTCGGGTCAGGAGCTACCGTCTAATGCATTCTTATTACAAAGAAAGACTACCGAGGGGAATGGGGAATACAGTGGCAGTGAGGCAGACAGGAGAGATGGAGGATGAAGCAGCGCCTGCTCTCAGAAAGGGGGGCAGAGAAAAAGGAAGGGGGTGGCAGGCGGACACAGGGAAGAGCGGGGCTGCTGTAAAACATGTTTCTTCCTGTTCACTGTTTGTACAGCGGATCCACTTAGATATTCGAGTTGGCGAACATGACCTTGATGCAGCCATTGCTCAAGCAAAGGACAAAGTTAATGAAGTTAGCTTCAAGATTGAACATCTACTTGAGCAGATTGAGCAAATAGTCAAAGAACAAAACTATCAAAGGGTCAGTCTGCCTATTCAGCTTATTTTATCTCTTCCCGCCAGGAATGCAATTCTCGAGACAAAGCCCCCAAACCAAGGAAAGAATAAACTGCCTGTTTCTCCGTCTTTCTCTCTGAGCTAGGACTGTGCAGGCACGCAGGGAGTGGGGAGAGGGCAGTCTTTCACTATCTGCTGGACCAGGAGCTCCTCCAGGAATGGAACTGTGGCTCATTCGCCTTGGGGTGGGAACTTACAGAATGAATAAATGAGGGCTTCCAAAAACCCAAATATTTGAAGAGGCTCAGAAAGCCCACTTGCTAAATCACAACTTTGTTCTCGTGACATTTCATGTTTTCTGGGTCACTGCTCTCAGTGGACTCTGGTCAGACGTGGGCTCAAAGCCGCTCCACCACTCACACTAGCCTCGTGTCATCTCTAAGCTTCAGTTTTCTTATCTGGACATTAAGAAGAAGACAGGTGTGCTGGGCACAGTGCCCAGCTTAAAGTAAAGACTCAAATGATGAAAATCTGTCACTATCAGGTAATGTTCACTTTGATCCATGGTGACAAATAAAATGTGTAAAGCAGTAGATCAAATGCCTAATAATTCACACCAAAATAAAAACATGTGTTTTATAAGGTTGATTCTTAGTCCTTGTCTTTGGCTAACGCCACACCCCAGCTTAGAAAACCAGCCACCACACTTTGGTATAAGATACTAATTGGGAAATATTAAACACCTTGAATGCATATAGCACCTTCCCCTCAAATTCATGCATTAAGCACTTTGAGAAACTAAACCTACCTATTTCTCTTCTGCATAGGACCGTGAAGAAAATTTTCGAATGACCAGCGAAGATACAAATAGCAATGTTTTATGGTGGGCTTTTGCACAAACATTAATCTTTATCTCATTTGGAATTTTCCAAATGAAGTCCCTTAAAGACTTCTTTATAGCTAAGAAGCTTGTTTAAAATGTCAATAAAGACAAACAACTACCTGCTAATTTGCATAACGTTTGAGTTAATGATCAAAACACATTCATAAATGTGTATTACTTTTATGATTTCAAAGACATCGGAGGTTGGAACTCACATTACAGCATTTTTACACTGATAAAATGTCGCTTTAACAACGTAGCTTCCGAGCGGGACACCACAAGCAGGTCCCCCAGTCCTTATTTTACACTTGGCAGAGATCAGCACAGTCTGATAGAAACAAGATGGAGCCATATAAGTAAATGCTAAGTTTTCTGGTTGCCACATTAAAAAGATTTTTAACCCTAGTGACATGTATTTAACCCAGTACATCAAAAATATTACCATTTTAACATGTAATCAGTATAAAATTACTTACATTCTTTTTTTGATACGAAGTCTTGGAAACCCAGGTGTATTCTACACTCAAAGCACATCTCAATTTGGACCAGCCACATTTCAAGGGCTCAACGGCCACACGAGGCCCACAGCCACAGTACCAGACAGAGGAGTGCATCTTTTCCTGACTGCGTTCCACTTAGAAAGAGTCATCCCAAATCTCTGCTTTTTGCTATTTCCCTGAAAGATGGCAACTTTTCTTCACACAAGTAAACGGCCCAGAAGCTTCTCTGCACAGTTTTCTCACTTGGTCCCCACTAGGCCTTGGAGACGGTCTGACCACCTCTGGATGTGGATGGAAACTGCTCTTTCAAGCCACCGAGAGCATGGGGCATCACACCAAGAGTGCAACTCCATGCAAAGGAACTTCCATCTGTTTTCTTTTAATTTAATTTTGAAATAATTATAAGCTCACTGGAAGTTGCAAAAATAGCACAAAGACTCCCTTCTCCAGCTCCCCCCATCTATTATTTTTAGAAGGGAAATCATCTCCCCTACAGTCAAACCCTTTCACATGTTCATGTTAGACACAAGCAGCTGCCTCTGGCCTGGCCCATCTCTATCATGTGGTCCAGCCAGTGCACCCAGGGCCCCAGTCACACACTATTCCGGTCCAGTCAGTCCTGGTCTCCCAGTCCAGCTGCTGCCCCATCCTGGTCTACTGGGTCCTCCTAGTCCCCACCACCACCACCACAGCTTCCCATGCCCCACCTCCATCTGCCCAGGCCCCTTGGTCCCCCGTTCCTGATCCTCTGGTCTCTCTGGTCACTCCTGTGCCCCCACCCTGGCCGGCCTGGGCCCCTAGGACTCTCC